CATCTACCATGGAAACAGACAGCAAAGAGGTTGTACAACAACCAGTGACCATGGAAGCTTTAATGCAACTTTTATCAAAGTTAAACACCACTAAAACAACCACAGACATTCCAAATCAACCCATCCAAATCCCAGAAAAACTAAACCATAAAAATTTTATGAAATGGTCCAAACTAATGCAGTTGGAACTCGAAGGCAAGGGGAGGCTCAGTCATATCACAGCCTCACCACCGCTGCATGAGGACCCAGAATACACCAGATGGACTCAGCGGGACTCGTTGGTAAGGTCATGGATTATCGTAAACATTGATCCAGAACTGCAAAATCAGTTTTTGGATTACCCAACCGCAAGAGACTTGTGGAAGGGGATTGAAACTTTGTACGGAGGCAGCAAAGACGGACTCCAAATCTTCGACCTTACGGTCCGGGCAAACAAGATGCAGCAAGGGATAGACCCAGTAGAGGTCTATTATAGCAAGTTAACAGCAATATGGAAGGAAATTGATAGAAGAGTTCCTAATCCAATGACTAGCCCAAATGACAAAAATACCTTTAATCGAATAACCCAGAACAACAGGTTATACCAATTTCTTGCCGGACTTGATGACTCATTCGACAAAGATCGGAGGGACATCCTCAACAGAGAACCCCTTCCAACCCCTGAAAAGGCGTTCGCCACCATCAGAAGAGAAGTGGCTCGCCGCAGAATCATGAAATCAACCGGAACAACCACCCCGATTTCCTCATCTACCCAATCATCAGAGATCGGCAGTGGTTTTGCGGCCAAAGGAAGGGCAGAGAAACCGGTTTTCCGGCGAGAAGATGAAAAATCGGGACTCAAGTGTACTCATTGCGGCGGTACTCGCCACACCAAGGATGGGTGCTTCAAAATAATAGGGTACCCGGAGTGGTGGACTGAACGAAAGAAGAAAGGAGGAAGAGGTAGTACCGGTAAGGCAGCTCTGAGCACCGGCGAAGCACCAGCGACAGGTGAAGGAGGAGTAACGGAAGCAGCAGCCACCACTGCTACAAAATCAGGTTTGAAAGAAAATAAAGAAGAAGGTATGAAGGATGAAACCTTAGACTCCTATTTATATGACTACAAAAATCAGGAGAGTATACCTCTTAAAAATTCATTTCAGCCCATTTGTGTTAAGCCCAAAACCGTGGACCTAGAACAACAGATTGAGCATGTGGACTTAGAACAGAAATTTAGTGAACCTACCCATTCAAACTCTCATAAAAAATCTGTTGGCTTAATGTGCAAACCCAATAAAAATAATAGGTGGATTTTCGATTGTGGAGCAACAGACACTATGACTTTTGATATCAACGATCTCGAAAAAATCCATACACCAAAAAAGGACCATATACAAACAGCCAACGGAGAGGTAATTAAAACAAAGGGGTCGGGTGTTGTCAAAATTTCTGATAACATCAAACTACCTAATTGCCTCTTTATACCGGACTTATCCCATAAATTACTTTCTATTAGCCAATTGACAAAGGACTTAAACTGTACTGTTCTTATGAATTCTCGTGGATGTACTGTTCAGGATTCTCGGACAGGGAAGATTATTGGGCATGGTACTGAAGAAGGCGGACTGTATTATGTTACTCGGATGCCTCAACATGGTAAAGCAGCGCTTGTTCGCGGGACGGTTGAACAACAGCTTTGGACTTGGCATAGGCGTTTAGGTCATCCGTCTCTTGGGTATTTAAAAAAACTCTTCCCTTCCCTTTCGAGTTCGAATTTTGTTTTTTATTGTGAGGCTTGTATTGTTGCAAAGAGTCATAAACATTTTTATCCAAGTAGTACGAGTCGAACTGATAAACCGTTTATTTTAATCCATTCTGATGTATGGGGTCCAGCTCCAGAGTTTAATAAACATGGTTTTCTATATTATGTTACCTTTATCGATGATTGCACTAGGATGAGTTGGGTTTATTTTCTTAGAAATAAGTCTGATGTCATTAACACCTTTGTCTCCTTCTACAAAATGGCCCAAACACAATTTCAAACCAAAATTAGAATTCTCAGGTCTGATAATGGAACCGAGTATAAAAACATTGATATGGAAACCTTCATCCAAACAAATGGCCTTATTCACCAAACTACATGTCCTGACACTCCACAACAAAATGGAGTAGCAGAAAGAAAAAACCGAACTCTCCTGGAAATGACTCGGGCCATGATGATAGAATCTTCTGTTCCTGCTTATTACTGGCCTGAGGCCATTTCCACAGCCAATTACCTCACCAACCGCCTACCTACAAAAAGCCTACATTTTTCTACTCCATTAGACACCCTTAAAAACCATGTCAGTGTTCCTACTGCCCACTCATTACCACCTAGAGTCTTCGGTTGTGTTGTGTATGTACATCTACCCAAACGGAATAGAAATAAGCTAGAACCACGGGCTGTCAAGTGTGTCTTTGTGGGGTATGGAACTAACCAAAAAGGATACCGCTGTTACGACCCAGTTGCAAATCGATTGTATACTACTATGGATTGTGACTTTGTCGAAACAGAATTTTATTATCACCACCTTCGATCTCAGGGGGAGAGCCCTAGTGAGGATCTAAGCTGGTTGGTCTATCCAGAACTGAATGTTCCTGACCCAAAAGAACAGGTAGGCGATACCGCCGAGGCAACTGATAACACTATACAACTCGATCTTCCTAATATCATGCCTACTAATCCAAACATGTCTGAGTCTCCAGTTCAAAATGAAATAGAGGTATGTACACCAGAATCGAGCCATATTTCTGAGTCTAGGTCACCTGAATCTACTAATGTACCTTCTGAAAGTGAAAATGTAGTACCAGGTGCAAGGGAAGATCATTCGTTGAGTCTCGTACATGGCAGGTATGAGTTGCCACCAAGGAGCACAAGAGGTGTTCCTCCCAAGAGGTATGATCCAGAATTTGAAGCGCAAAGATCAAAATATCCTGTGAGCAAGCCAGGAGAGGGAAATCTATCCCAAGGAGTAAAGAGCTACAGTGCAGCCTTATACTCTGAAAGCACTCCCGCCACAACAGAAGAAGCTCTTAGAAGTAAAAACTGGAAATCAGCTATGGAGGAAGAAATAGATGCACTGGTCCGAAATAAGACTTGGGAAAAGTGTACCCTACCTACTGGGAAAAAACCCGTAGGCTGCAAATGGGTCTTTACAATACAACGTAAAGCAGATGGCAGCATTGAAAGATATAAAGCAAGGCTGGTAGCTAAAGGGTACACGCAAACTTATGGGATAGATTATGATGAAACTTTCTCTCCAGTAGCGAACTTCAACACTATCAGAGTGCTTTTTTCAGTTGCAGCGAACAAAGATTGGCCCCTGTATCAGTTCGATGTAAAAAACGCATTCCTTCATGGAGATCTTTCTGAAGAAGTCTATATGGAAGCTCCACCAGGGTTCTCACATGGCTTTGGTAAAGGTGAAGGTTGTAGACTGAAGAAAGCCTTGTATGGACTGAAACAATCACCAAGGGCGTGGTTTGGAAGATTCACTGTGGCAATGAAGAAGTTCGGATACAAACAAAGCAATGCAGACCATACCTTGTTTCTCAAAAGAAGAGGTACTGCAATTACCTGTCTTATCATATATGTTGATGATATGATTATAACAGGAGATGATACAGAAGAAATAGAGCAATTGAAGGAGAAACTTTTCAAGGAATTCGAAATGAAGGATCTTGGAAATCTTAAGTATTTCCTGGGAATAGAGGTACTCAGGTCAAAAAGGGGTATCTTTATATCTCAAAGGAAGTATATCCTGGATTTCTTGACAGAGACAGGTATGATAGACTGTAAACCAGCCGACACTCCTATGGTTATGAACCATGGGCTCCAGATTATTGAAGGAGCTAAATCAGTAAATCAGACGCAGTACCAGAGACTCGTTGGAAAGCTAATATATTTGTCTCATACTCGGCCTGATTTAGCTTATGCAGTTGGAGTTGTTAGTAGATTCATGCATAAACCACAGAAGCAGCATCTTGAGGCAGTTTACCGGATTCTGAGGTATTTAAAAGGGACTCCTGGAAAGGGAGTTATTTATGAGAACCATGGCCATTTAGATCTTCACGCCTTTACAGATGCAGATTGGGGAGCAGATCGTGACAGTCGAAAATCGACTTCTGGTTATTTGACTTTTGTGGGTGGAAATTTGGTTTCGTGGAAGAGTAAGCGACAAAAGGTAGTTGCTATGTCGAGTGCTGAAGCAGAATTTAGGGCAATTGCAAAAGGAATTACTGAAGTGCTATGGATCAGAAAACTCCTAAAGGAGCTTGGGTATGCACCAAAGAAAAGTTGTAAGTTGTACTGCGACAATATGGCTGCCATACGCATATCTGAAAACCCGGTCCAGCATGATCGAACAAAGCACGTGGAAATTGACAGACACTTCATCAAAGACCATCTAGATGGAAAAGTGATAACTCTACCTTTTGTTCGATCAGAAGATCAACTAGCAGATATCTTAACTAAAGTTGTTTCTACACAGGCGTTTGGGCAAGCATTGAGCAAGTTGGGTGTTAGAGATCCTACCATCCAACTTGAGGGGGAGTGTTAGAAATCCAGAATATTCTATACTATTCTGTAATGTTCTGTAAACCTCTCCTCTTTCTATACTTAGGATAATTAAATCAAATCACTCTGATTTTTAGAGTGATTACAGGCTGTGATTAAGGAGTGATTACAGACCGCAATTGTAGCCCAATTAGGCAAGTAGAACTTGTATAAATGCTGTAACCCGAGCATTTTTGAATACATAGAAAACCATTGAAAACCTTAAAACAGTGTAGTTTATTTTTAAGTACAATATTGGCTTATTGCATTAAATTATATACGATGTATAAGTAAAAGTTATAAAAAGTTGATAATTTAAAAATATAAATTGATGTGGATTCAAACCATTCAATGTACATTCTAATATACAGTATGTTTTACGAGTAATTTGTAGAAAAATATTGGTCAAAAAAGAAAGCGTGACTAGTTAAAAATGTCAAAATAGTGCAATTTTATTTGAAACAAAGTTAATAATTTAATACTCCGGATAACACACGATTATTTCTCAACTTTCTGAATCTGTTTTCATATCACTGCTTTTGTACCTCCAATGGCCTGGATAATGTCCAAACATGACTTCATCTCTGATCTTCTAAACTTCAAAGTAAGAGTGAAAGGCCTTGCCTCTAAAAATTGTTGGACAATAAAAGGCATTTCACATACTTCAGTGACGAATCATTTACTTTGCTTTTCCTCTTCCTAATGTGATTGTCAGACAAAAGGTCAGACTCTATCCATAGTAGTTTTTGACCAACAGAAGGCTATTCAGATTTCACTCATTAGTTTGATCCCTCGATAATTGGCAGTCTTGGACTCTTGGCACAATATTAGGCCTCGCCTTCGTTCTTATGCAAAGGGAGTAGGGTACTTTTTTCCCTTTCAAATGGCATATATTACTTACCCAAATCTTGTTAAATAATGTTGTATACCATTCGATTCCTCTCTCCCAAACGTGTTTTGTCACCTCATGAACAATCACCTCTGAGATCTAAATGTCAAGGAGAGTTCTGAACTTTACTCGTCTTTTAACGCTCCCCATTCTATCATAGCCAATACCAATTTTACTATGCAACAATTTCATTGCCAAATCTGCATTTCCTGCTTTTCTCAGGGAATTGATCAATATAGTACGAACTCTCCCAGGTATCTCTCGGCCCCTATCAACAATCCCATCAGCCAATTTACAAGCCTGCTCTATGCGCCCTGCTTTACAAAGTGCGTTAATCATATCTTCACAGGCATTTTCAGGTATGACACCCATAGGTGCTAGGTCATCCAAAATTCTGCAAGCCCTGGCAACCTTACCAGAAAGACAAAGTCCGATTGCAAGAACTCTGAAAGAAGCTGCAGTAGGTGCAACTCCCTTATCAATCATCGTATTCCACAACTTCAATGCTTCTTCATTCTTGTGTTTTTTAAACAATCCATCTATGAGTATGGTGTACGTATAAACTGTCTGGTCACAACCCTCATCATCCATCTGATCAAAGAGTGTCAAAGCTTCGTCAATTTTGCCACATTTTGCAAGAGCATCGATCATTGCATTATAGCAATAAGAATCACGAGTGCAACCCTTCACAGCCATCTCTTCAAAAAGCCTTTCCGCTTCCTTTACTTTCCCTCCCTTGCCCAGTCCATCAATAAGAGAGCAATATATGGTAGCATTTACACCAATCCCATCGTATGTGCACACCCTGAAGTATTCCATGGCCTCTTCTAGTCTACCATTCCTGCAGAGCCCATTGATAATGGCGCCACAAGTAACCTCATCAGGAGAAAGACCCTCTTTCTTCATTTTCTTCAAAAGACTGATAGCATACTCCACATTTCCACCCTTGACATACGAATCAATTAACGCAGTATATATTGCAATGTTAGCCTTACATCCCCTCTGAATCATGTCCCCGAAAACCACATTTCCTTCGGCATACTTCCCACCCTTACAAAGCCCACAAATCACCAAACTATAAGCATGAGGTGGTATTTCCAATCCCTTCTCCACCATCTCATGGTAAAGAGACAAACAAGCATCAAAATCACTCTCTCCATAACAAAGCTGTATCAAAGTCATGTAAGTAATCTTATCAGGCTCTACATTTCCAATTTCCATCTCTTTCAACATCCCCATCGCCTTCCCGGTCTTCCCAGCCTTACTATACCCTTTAATCAAAGTATTATAAGTAACAATATCAGGCCGAGTTTTCCCATTTCGCATCACCTCGAAAACCTGCTCAGCCGACTCGATAAACATAGAATTCACAAGTCCATTCATGAGGAAATTATAAGTATACAGGCTAGGTTCAATCCCATTATCCTTCATTCGCCGCCATACCCACAATAATTCCTCAACCATTCCCAAATTCCCAAAACTCTTGATCAAAGAATTAAAACAATTCACATTCATAACAAAATCCAACCTCTTAAACTTACCAAACACAGTCTTAATCCTATCAACATTATTTGAAACACTCAAAACATCAATCATAGTAACATAACATTCAAGCTTATGACTATAATTCTTTTGCTTACCAGCCCAACAAAAGAAGCGAAAAGCATTATCTGGGTTCGTTTTCACCTGAGTTGAACCCAACACAAAAGCAACAAAATTAGGCGTTAATCTAATCAAAAACTTATTGCAATAATTACTCAAATTAGACTCCATTAATGATGAACCATCGAGGAGTTCGAGGATTCGAGAAACCCAAATAGAGGGTTGGAGATTTTGGTGGGGTTGTAAAACGACGTCGGAGATGTCAGTGAAGGGTTCGATCCATTCAGGTGGAGGGAGTGAAGAAGTAGTGAAGAATACCCATTTGAGTTCAGAGTTAGGTCGAGGGATTTGGAGCTGGGGTTGGGAATTGGAGGTTGGAGGAGAGAGAAAATAATGGCGGGGAACGCCATTGATGAAGGTGGAAGCTCTTAAGAAGGTTGAAAGTGGTGTGAGAATAACAAGGGGTTTTCTCATTTTGAAGGGTTTTTGAGGTGATTGTCTTCTCTACTTCTATATATCAAAGCCATTAAGCCATAAATTAAATTTTCGTAACTTTGTTCTAGATCGAAACTTTGTCATTTTTTGTACAACTATTTTTTTTTCCGAAAAAGAAAAGATGATATGCGAAGTGTTTGATTCATTGTAATGATTATATTCGAGCATAAACCAAACTTTTATCATTGTATTAGTAAAATATAATTAGAGATATTAATGATAAAAATTATGGATTAAACCGGTAAAAAAGGGGAAGAACAAAAGAAACGCATGGAGTAACTAGAGTATAACTACTTTTTAACTTTACCTTAAAAATCCGTGTGTGGATGTGTAGAACTGTAGAAGTACACAAAGATGATGTTGAGAAATGTGTGGTTTTCGTCGAACAGGTTGTAAGTGCCTCATTTCTTCAGCCGCGTGAGAGTGATTTTATAAGTAGCTTACTAGTTGACCTCCATTTTACTACTACTAAATCATTATTTCTATCTCCCACTAAGCTGCTAACTACAATAGAGTATTTGGAAATAGAGAAATGTTATTATATAATGTAATGTAAACCTTACATATATAAGATCTACCACCTAAAATTATTTGCATTCAATAAGTGACATGAAGTCACATTTACGATTTTCTCTATTGAACCTCTCAATCCGTGATCTATAACTTTTCCTCTCATATTCATTTTCTTTACACCTTGGAAGACACCTCCCACCACCTTCTTCAAACTCGATGTATAGTTCATTTTGTAACAACTCAACAACATTAAGAGTTATTATCAGAGATAGTAGCGAAGCCCTCATCAAGACATTCATGTTCAAGTTCGATAACACTAAGGCATTCATAGCAAAAATCACATTTTTTCATAAGGGATTCCGTAAAATTCAAATTAAAGGCGACAATTTACAGTCATTAACTTAGAGCACCCACAATGGTGGGCATTATTTTAGCTCATGGGCATTTTGGTGGGCAAGCATGTGAATTTATGAGTTACAATGGTGGGCTAAGGATAATATGCCCATGGGCATGTCTTAAAATGCCCAAGAGTTGGGCATAAATGCAAGTGAACAATGCTAAGGTGGGCCCCACTTATTGTTGAGAGAATTAAAAAAAATTCGGTGGACAAGGCAACTGATAAGTGGTTTATTTGACCACTTATTGTGTAAATTTAAACCCGATTTTGCGATCATTTCCCCTCTTTCTAACCCAATTTTGAATGAAAATGTTTTGTCTCGGCTTTCCCCCTCTTGGTTTGTGTTTGTCCATGTTTTGCAGGTCTATGGACTCAATTAGGCAGGCTTTCGGTGCATGAATCGTGTTTAAGACAAGAGGATTGAGGATTGGAGAGGGCGCTCTAGGGGAGCGGGCGTGCACCTCTCATGGAGCGGGCGCTCCTCGACTCTAGCTACATTCTGCCCAAGTTCAGGTGCTGTTAGGAGCGGGCGTGCTCCTCACCAGGAGCGGGCGCTACTCCCTTTGAAGATTGAATCTGCCCATGCTGCTGGAACAAGGGAGCGGGCGTGCATCATGTGAGGAGCGGGCGCTCCTCCCTGACACTTTCAAATCTGATCCTTCATTGAAGCATTCTGGAGAGGGCGTGCAGCCGCAAGGAGCGGGCGCTCCTCATTATGGAGCGGGCGCTCCTCGCTGGGAATCCGTTTTCTTTTGACGGATTTCCCTATGTGTTTCGGGGAGTATAAATACTTCCCCTTTAGCTCATTTAGAGAAGGGGTACAGTAGCCTAGTTTTCAGAAACCTCTCTTAGTTTGAAACATTCCTTAGGATTAATTTAGCTTAGTTTTCATCAAATCAAATCATTGTATTAGTGAAATTCAAGAATTACTCTCAAAGTTTGGCAATTTGTATTCAACATTTGAAGCTTCAATTAGTAATTTCTCCAACCTTTTTCCACTTAATTTCATATTTTATTTGGTATTTGCATGTTATTTAAATCTTCTTAGTTCTTGGTAATTTGTTATTGGATGATAGTTATTTCAATTGTTAACCACTTTTCCCCAATTATTGAAGTATTTAGAACCCTAATTCTTGATTGCATGTTGATAAACATGAGTTGTGAGTAGTCTTCTTGCTAGGGGTTGGGTGAAGCTCGACCTTTTGGGTTAACTATGCAAATGTGGGAGAAGCATTGATGTTTGTATTGCAATTAAATTGATTATATGAGATTGCTTGTTAGTTCCTCATGATAGGTTTAGCTACCCTTGACTTAGGAGCTTGATAGTATGATATGCCTAATTTGACATGGAAGTGTAAATTGAGTACGTCATTACTTATTGTAATTTGATTATGTATCATCTATTGCTAAACTAATGAGGAATCTAAGTTTAGTAGTGTGAGTTGTTTTCTAATTGCATGAGGTTGATTTTACATATAGTCCTTGCTATATCTTGTCTATTCTACTCCCCGTTTGCCTATTTGCCTTGGTTGAGTGGATCTCATTCCCTAGTATCTTTAATTCATTGATTTAGAACCATAGTTTGTTTGTCTTCTTGACGAACCCCAATTCACCAATTGACTTCGAATTAGCTTAAGTGTAAAGATCTTTGGCAACCATATCTCGTTCCTTGTGGACCGAACTATTACTTGTCATTATGCTTGGTTTGTAAGGTGTTTGTTAATAAATGTGTTTGATTGAGTGTGGAATGTACGACCGTTCTAACGCCCATCAAAATGGCGCCGTTGCCGGGGAACGGTGTTGTTGATAGCTAATTGATTACTTGAGTCTAGTTCACCATAAAAAAATTTTCAAAAAGATTGTTTCTTTTTGGCTACACTTGTAGCCTTGGTACTAATTGCGTTTGTTGAGAGTGTATGCGCAGAACTCATAACAGGATCTTGGTACCTTACGATCCCGAGATTGAGCAAACTTATAGAAGGAGAAAAAGAGCCGGTTCTAGGCTGTTTACTACTCCCCCAGCTAGAGACACCAATTTCGAGGAGGATCGAGATCAAATGGGTGACGCGGAACCACCACCTCAAAGACCTTTAAAGGAGTTGGGAACTCCGGGAGCTTATAGAGCTTCAAGCGGCATTGCTCCACCCATTACTCAAGCCAATGACTTCGAGATTCGGCCCGCAATGATTAATTTGATTGAAAGGAGGCAATATAGTGGAGCAAAACATGAGAGCCCTCTTGCACACTTGAACGAGTTCGAAAAATATTGCAACACGATCAAGGTAAATGGGGTAACTCAAGAGTTTGTGAGACTAAAGCTGTTTCCTTTTTCTTTGATAGGAAGGGCTCTTGAATGGCTTGAGAAGGAGGTGAGGCCTAACTCCTTGAGAACTTGGGACGAGGTCACCACGGCTTTCTTAGGAAGATTTTATTCCCAAAAGAAGACGGCCGAGGCAAGAGCTTTGATCCAAGGTTTCCGTCAAAAAGGTAGTGAAACCATTTATGAAGCATGGGAACGATACAAGGAATATCAAAGGGAGTGCCCTCATCATGGCATTCCGTCATATCAAGTGCTTCAAATTTTCTATGGGGGCTTGAGCCCACAAGGAAAGACTAGCTTGGATGCAGGAGCGGGTGGCCCGATTATGAACAAGACGGAGGAGCAAGTCATAGAGATAATTGAGGATGTGGTGAGGCACCACATGGATTGGCAAGAAGGAGAGAGAGATTCTCTAAACAAGGGAGGAAATGCGGTTTACTCCGTTGATCACCTTAATGCCATCAACAATTTGACCTCCCAAATCGCCAACCTTGGAAAGGAGATGACGTCCATTAAGGCAAAATTAGAGACCTCTAGTTCAACACAAGAGCATCCCTCCCAATCTAAGGGGAGAGGTATGAATTCTAACTCTTCTCCCTCTACTTCTAATAACATGCCTCATGGATGTTTGTTTTGTGAAAATTGTGGGTCTTATGACCATGATACCTCTTCTTGTAATTATGATTTCCAACCCCAACCCCAATACGAAGATGGTAATGAAAATGAAAATGAACAAGTCAATGCCTTGTCTTATGATAATAGACATAGGAATGATAATCAAAAATACTTACCACCAAATAGAAGAGAACAAGGGGGAATTCCTATAACCAAAGAGGAAATGATTACGATTACCATAATCAAAATCAATGGGGAAATAGGAACCAAAGGGAACAAAATCCCCAAGGTAACTACAACCAACAAGGTGTTTATGGTAACCATAATCATAATAATCAAGGAAACTATGGGAATCAAGGGCAATTTCACCAAGGGGGAAACTCTAATAATCGGAACAATTGGAACAACAATAATAATAGAGGTTCTTCTAATCAAAATGCGTCCAATCCGAATGTTAGAGGTAATAGGGCTTCCCAAGACAACCACTATGCACAAGCACCACATAGTAGGTCTAGCTTGGAGGAAATGATGGAAAATCAAACTAAAATGTTCAATTCTTTCATGGCCTCAAGTGAAAAGAAATTTAGTGAAGTGATGACCCATAATAAAATGCTAGAGACACAAATTTCACAATTGGCCAATGCTTTGAAGGAAGGGACTAGCACTTCTAAACTACCACCCCAAGGACTAGATCCTAAGAGGCCCGTAAATGTTATATCAACAAGGAGTGGTAAAGTTTTGGAAGAAAGTGTTCCTAAAAAAAGCAATGAGAGAATGAACATGAGTGAGCCTCCCTTTAAAAGTGATTTTGAACAAGAGAGAGAGCAAAACCATGAGAATGAAAAGGAGAAAGAATGTGAGAAAGAAAAAGAATTTGAGAAAGAGAAAGATTTTGAAAAAGAGAGTGAAGAGAGAAGAGAAAAAGAGAGAGAAACAAAACAATTGCAAAAACTACCATATCCTCACAAATTTGTTAGAAACAAATTAGATGTGCAATTTGGAAAATTTCTTGAAACATTGAAACAAATTCACCTTTCAATTCCTTTTACCGATGCTATCAAGCAAATGCCTAACTATGCTAGGTTTTTGAAAGATATTTTGAGTGGAAGGAGAAAGTGTGAATTGGTTGAAACGGTGAGTCTCACCGAGAATTGTAGTGCAATTATCATGAACAAGATGCCACCCAAATTAAAAGACCCCGGTAACTTTTCTATCCCATGTGCAATATACAAGATGCAAATTGATAATGCTTTGTGTGACCTAGGGGCTAGTGT